TCGGGTCGTAGATGCCCTATCTCGGCGCCCTGACCACGAGCAGGAGCACATCCAGCTCTCTTCCATCTCGGTCACTACAGTCCACCACTCGGTGATCGAAGAGTTTCGCACTCAGTACCGCCACTGCCCCGACTATCGCGACATCCACGCGACCCTTCGGAGTGGCAAGACCGTCCCGAACTACTCTCTCGGGGACAACGGTCTTGTGTACTGGCACGGTTCACAGGGCACCAGAGAGCCCCATATTTGCGTTCCCTCCACTGGACAGCTACGTGTCCGAGCAGTAGCAGAGTTCCATGACCACGCAGCTGCCGGTCATATGGGCTTGCACAAGACGTTAGCTCGTGTAAGCCGCCTGTACGTCTGACCGAAGCGCAAGGACTTTGTGAAGGACGACGTCGCAGAGTGTCCCACCTGTCAGGAGGTGAACAGTGCGAACCACCTGCCTTATGGTTTGCTCCAACCTCTTCCTATCCCCGAGGGTCGTTGGCAGTCCATCTCGATGGACTTTATTGGTCCCCTTCGTCCTCCGACCCCTGGCGGTCATGATGCTATCCTGGTCGTTGTCGACCGCTTCACGAAGCGTGCACGCTTTGTTTCGTGCCGCTATGCCATCAGTGCACGTGAGGTCTCCGACATCGTGTTTGACCGAGTCGTGCGTGACCACGGCTTACCTCTGAGCATCATATATGTCCGTGACCCGCGCTTTACCAGCCGATTCTGGCGACGGCTCCACGAGGTGTACGGCACTCACCTCCGCTTCTCCTCGTCTTACCATCCTCAGACTGATGGTCAGACTGAGATCACGAATAGGACTCTCGGAGATATTCTCCGAAAGATTGTTCGTGACGATCAGCAGTGGGATCTCCATCTTGCCCACGCGGAGATAGCCTACAACCACGCCGTCTAGCTAGCCACGGGGATGTTGCCTTACTATTGCGACCTCGGCTATCACCCGCGTGTTTCCGCGGACTTCCTTCGACCGTCCCAGATGTACCCTGACACGAGTTGTCCCGCGCTGGATGATTGGGTTGCACACATGACGTCGATTATGAAGAACACACATGAGCACATAGCCGCTTCCCAGACTCGCATGGCAGCACGTGCGAACCGATCGAGGATGGATCACTCATTCAAGGTCGGTGATGAGGTGCTTATCGACGCCCGCCACTTACAGCTCGAAGCGGACACGCGTCGCAAGTTTCGGCGTCACTTCTTTGGCCCATGCCGCATCCTCTAGGCCGTCGGTTCTGATATGGCATCTAGCCCGGTCAACTTTCGTGTGAAGCTGTCCGACTACCTACACCAGGCTCGTGTGCATGATGTCTGCCACGTCTCGTTACTGCGTCCTTACCGCAGACCATCTGAGCGTTTCGATGGACGACCACACGAGCGCCCTCCACCCATCATGGTGGACGGCCACGAGGAGTTCCTCGTTTCAGACATCATTGGTCGCCGAGTCACCGACGACAACCCTCCCCACGTCGAGTATCTCGTACGTTGGAAGGGTTACCTTGATGAGGAGGCTACCTGGGAGCCCCTCGAGCACTTGCAGCACGCTCGCATGTTGGTGCGCGCTTATGACCGTGCTCGTCGTGCTGGGTTCACTGCTCCTCCTCAGCCCACTGACCCTCCTCCTTCTGCCCCGGCTGAGGAGACCGCTGAAGTCGAGCCTGCTCCATCTGAGGCAGACCTTCATCAGCAGCCGGATGCTTCTGAGCGTCCACAGCGCACTCGTCGTCATCCTGCTCGATACGATGATTGACTCTGACTTACCTTCCCACGTCCTTGACTTCTCAGTACTCCATCCACTCTAGTTTTGCTACTTCGGCTCGTCAACATTGCGGCTCTTCCTCGACGTCATTCCGGACTTCTCATCGTGGACGTCATCGGCAGCTTCATGGACTTCGTCACGATCAGCTCTGCCTACTTCAGACGTCGCCACTCTCTTACTACTTTACCCTGTACAGTACCCTGCTTGTGTCGCATGATGGTCTCCCTTTAGCCGGGTTCCTTTGAGTTGGGCTCTCCCTTGGTATACGCATAGGCATCGGGACCGTAGCGTTGCCTTGGCTTCCCATCTTACGGATCTAGCTCTGACTTCCCTCACTTTAGGAGTCATTTGCATGATGCCCTTACCCATCATCTTTTTACCCTTCGCCGGCCCTCACGCCCTAGTTAGGCAGCCCCGCATGCTTCATCTAGGTGCGCCCAATATACCAGACTCCCTTGTTTCCCTGCATGGTCGACCCTCCATAGCGGTCACCCCTTAGTCGAGCATTACCCGCCCTGATGGTCTCTCTGTTAGGGTCATTGGTTCTGTTCGCTCCCAGTTCCCTACCCTCATTGAGCCTGATGACATGTGTTTTCCCCTGTCACTATGTGTGGATGCCCTTAGGAGTTTTCGACCCCTAGGCTGCATTCGCCACCCTCAGAGACCATCCCACCCTTTGGTTTGCGACACACTTCTCATGTGACATAGGGTTGTCTTGTTGATTGCTTTGTTGCTCTCAGATTGAGGCTACTGCCTCCGACATTTCTAGGATTTAGTTATTCTGCTTTTGCTGTTCTTAGGACTTATACACTAGTCAGTTGTTACCAGACTGAGGCTAGTGCCTCCAACATTCTAGGATCTAGTTATCACTACTTTCTGCTTTCCTAGGACATGTATGCTAGTTAGTTGGTTTTGCTTTCCTAGGACATGTATGCTAGTTAGTTGTTTTTGCTTTTACTTAGCCTGTTAGCTGTGACATTGTTGTTTTGTGACATTTTATATCCTAGGTTGCATCAAATGGACTCAGCATGGAGCTTGCTCCGCATCCTAGACTACTCATGTTTCTTTTCTTTGGTAGGGTTCCGCTTTTTGGCGGAAGCGTGCTTGTATCTAGGCGATCCATCACAGGCCGAGGATCGTGTAGCGGACCTTCGGAAGCCTGTGAGACCAGCCCCTTGGCCTATTTTCACAGGCCTGTGTTTTATTCGGGGCAGTCCAGTCGAGGCTGGTACCTCTGTCGGTACCAGCCAGTCCAGTCCAGTCCCGTCAGTCCGATGGGGTATACCCCAGCCTCTGTCTGTTTTCGAGCTCATTCTTGACTTGCACATTTTGGAGTACGTGCGTTGGAGTCTTGCGTGGGGAGCTGCGTTGTGCCATCCGCTCCCCCCTTCTTCCTCCATCTCCATCTCTACCACTAGCGGAGCACCACACCTGGTGGGTCCGCTACATCTCGTAAGAAAAAAAAAGGGATGGATTTTTATGTATGGTGCTGTGTGACCCCTCGGCCCGTGTAATCGCATTCCTAGAGCAGGTCGAGACTGGGCCTCGCTGCACTACTCTTGAATCTTGAGAAATCAAGAGTTCATCACGGCTGCACTAACTCTTGATGCGGCGTCCTGAATTTCCATTCAAGAGCTGTTAGATTCACTCTCGAAAACGTTGAGAGTGAGGTTTGGACCCCACAGCTTTGCGGATGGAAAAGTGGTTTGCCCACGAAAAGCGGGCAAGTCATTTTGGAAAGTTGGACAGTACCTTTTCCGGGACCCCATCGCAGAGGGCCAAATGCGCTTGGAAAACCCTTTGGAAATCCGTTGAGCCAATCGTTGCCCATTTCTCTTGGCACTCATTTGTTTTGTTCTTTTTTTCGTTTTTTTTTTTTTTTTTTTTTTTTT